TTCACTTCCCCCTTACAAAAAGCCACCTTTGGTTCTCTTGCCTGATGACTTGTCAAGTTATTCTGTATCTCAAAAAAAAATGTTAATTCTTATAAATGAGCGATTCTTTAAAAGCCTTGTATTAGAAGTGAAGCTGTTCTCACCCCCTCAGGGAAGACTTCTGCTTTTAGGGAACACAGCTATTGTAGGGAGCCTGTTTGAGACTAACACAAACTGTTACCCCTGAAAGAACCTTACCTGACTCTGAAGCTTTGAGTAGGGGTGCCCCTCCGTAGCGGAGCCCCTCTCTGCCTTAGGGGTGGAAGCTGGCATTTAGCTGCTTATCATTGGGACTTACCTGATTTTCACCCTATGGAGCACAGCCCAGTGGAAGCCAGGCTCTCATGCAGTCACTAGATCTGAAGGTCCCCCACCTACTTTTTTATGCTGATGGGATTCTTGGCTGAAATCACCCTTCGATGATCACCCTAATTCTGCCAAGTGCTTGCATCGCAGATAGGGACAGGTTAGTCATTTTCAATAGTCAGTGACCTCACCTTCCTGATAAGAGGAGCACCAGGACCTTCCATAGAAGGGATGTGTGCTCTGAGGATGGGTGATGTGTGCTCTGAGGATGGGTGATGTGTGGACCAGGCAGGTCCTAGGAGCTTTCTGGGGAGGCAGAGATGGAGGTCTGGGATCTGTGGACCTGTGGGCCTGGGGCCTGCCCTTGCACTGGCCACACTGAGGGATCACAGGCACTGGTCCGGGAGACCCAGCCACCGTCTCTCCCTCTCTCCTGAGAGTATCTACAGTACCTCTCCTGCCTGCCTCACGGCTTTGTTGGCAGATCAGATATGATGAGAGGCCTGAAAGTGTTTGTGACATTTAAACCAGAGACGGGCACACTGCAGCCTGGGCCACAGGTCTGCAAACCTGACCTGCTCCCTCAGTTTCAGTGTTACCTCTGGCCGGTTTCACCCACCAACACAGAGCTGAGGCGTCCCTGCAGAAATCAGACACTGCATGGCCCGCCAAGCTAAAAGCACTTACTCTCTGGATCTTTACAGAAAATGTCTGCTAGCGCTGGGCCTAAAGAGTCGTGCAAAAGCAAACTGTCCTCATGGGCCCCCTTCCGTGCTCCCGGGAACCGCCTGTGGTTCGCAGGGTGGGGCCATGGCTGAGGATCTGCAAAGCAGGGAGCCGAGCCAGACCCCAGGAGATGCTGCTGGGGTTTGGGCGTGAGATCTGGAGGAGCCAGGCCCATGGCTGGGCGATGAAAGGAGGAACCCTCTGTGGGAGGCCCTAGATTTTCTTTGGGAGCCTGTGAGGGGGGCGCTGGGAGACTGAGCAGGCACTCGCTGAGAAAGGGCAGGGCAGGACTCTCTGGCCCCTTCCTTGATGGGGATGTCATAAAGTGAGGCCAGAGCAAGGCCTTAGCATGCAGCTGGCGTCAGATCTTTAACAATGTGAAGGGAAAACGGACTGGGGTCATTTACTTCCAATGCATGATTGTGCTCCTGCCACTCCCTGCTACCTGCTCAGTCGTCCCTCACAGAACCCAGCCCAGGCAGCCAACACTGGGTTTGAGGGGCTACCCCTCCAAAACATCCTGCTGGAGCTTTTGTGTTCCTGGCTTATTATATGTATCCTAGAGGCCCGATGCATGAAATTTGTACACTCAGGGGTAGGGGGGTGGTCCCTCAGCCCAGATTGTGAGAGGGCACAGGCCAGGCCGAGGGACCCCACTGGTGCACAGCCGGGGCTGGGAAGGGGTGTGAGAGGTTGGCCAGCCAGGGAGGGACCATGGGAAGGCTCCAGGGCGTATCCAGCCCATCTTGCTCAATCTGATCAGCTGGACCTCAGCAGCAAGCTAACCTACCAGTTAGAGCATCTGCCCCCCGGTGGTCAGTGCACGTCATAGCGACTGGTCAACCATCGACTGTCTGCCCCCTGGTGGTCAGTGCACACCATAGAGAGCAGTTGAGCTGCCTTAGCATATCATTATCATATTACACTTTGATTGGTTGAACCGAGGACCACACACTTAGCATATTAAGCTTTTATTATATAGGATATATATCTCTAGCATAATATTGCCTTCTTTTCCCCTGTCCCCTTCTCTAGGTGGAGAATTCAGGGGACCCATGGGAAAATTTCCAAAACAACCAGGCGCTTACGTACTGGGAATGTGTCTACTTGCTCATGGTCACCATGTCCACTGTTGGCTATGGGGATGTTTACGCGAAAACCACGCTCGGGCGCCTCTTCATGGTCTTCTTCATCCTCGGGGGACTGGTAAAAGCGCTTTGTTATGATGCTGATTTTTATGGTCATTAATATCTTCTATTATCCATTCCCAAAAGCTTTGTAGTTTGATAGTGTGTTTCTGTGCTAGAAGCAAGCGATTGCCTTAGTGTTACAATCAGGCTACGTTGGTCCGAGTGTGAGGGTGACTTGTCTGCATATTTCTTAGGTGTATTAACTTGTTTCCCAGAGACCCAGGCGTGTTGCCCTTGTCAGGGCCAGCCAGTTAGCCAGGAGCAAACCTAATTGTCTTAAGAAAGTGCTGCTCACTTACTAAGTGAGTGTCTGTCCCTTAGTAATTCAATTCAGTATCTGACATTCTGCAAAGACAGCTGCTGTTCCCTGACCCTGGTGGATGCTGTCGATACTCCATAGACAGTTTGCGGTTTCAAGAGCTTTCCCGCCCCTTGACGGTCCCCCCAAACTTCCAACAAACACTGTGGCTGGGGCCTGCCCTAAAGAGTGGGGTCCCCACGTCGGAGATGGAGGCCCACTGGTCTTGTCCAGGTGGATGTCACCCCGTGCGGCACCTAGGGTGTTTTTTCTTCCCCTTGTAAGTCAGCAAGTTTCACTGTTTGCTTTTCTGCTCTATGCAGATCATAATGGTCGGTTATGCTGTCATTTTCAAGGGACATTTGGCAACACAGTGGCTGTGGCTGCATTTTGTCTCTCAAAGCAGCTTGCTCTAACTTTTGATTTTTTTAAAAAATATATTTTTATTTATTTTAGAGAGGAAGGGAGAGGGAGAGAGAAACAGAAACATCAATGATGAGAATCATTGGTTGGCTGCCTCCTGCACGCCCCCTACTGGGATCGAGGCCACAATCCAGGCATGTGCCCCCGACCAGAATGAAACCTGGGACCCTTCAGTCCGTAGGCCTACCCTCTATCCACTGAGCCAAACCAACATGTGTGTGCACGTGTGTGCACATGTGTGTGCCTGCCTGTGTAAGTGTGTAATTTCCCCAGCATGCATCCCCCTTACTTATTTCTCTTCAGGAAGGAGAGCTAGATGTCAACTTATTTATCCCTGTCTCCTTTGTATTTTTCTCTTCATAGTTGGCATGTGTGTGCACGTGTGTGCACATGTGTGTGCGTGCCTGTGTAAGTGTGTAATTTCCCCCTTACTTATTTCTCGTCAGGAAGGAGAGCTAGATGTCAACTTATTTAGCCCTGTCTCCTTTGTATTTTTCTCTTCATAGTTGCCTTTTGGGCAATATCAGTAGCGACTGTGATTTTTTAGTTGTCTAGGCTGGCTGATGTTTGTTTTGCCTCGTGTGTTTTCAGGAGCTTACCCTTTTTGTGCCTTTTTTATAATCCAGTGTATTAGTGTGTACCTTCGCCGTTCTAATCCCTTTGTGTTTTCAGATCTTAGCATCACCCCCTTCTGAAAAGGTCACCCCTTCCTTTGGCCTGTCTTTTTAGTCTCTCTTCTGTCTCCTATCTTCTCCTCAGGCCATGTTTGCCAGCTACGTCCCTGAAATCATAGAGTTAATAGGAAACCGCAAGAAATACGGGGGCTCCTATAGTGCGGTTAGTGGAAGAAAGTAAGTATCCAGAGGTCTGCTGCCTCCGCTGCGGGGTCCTCTCTGCATGCCATTGTTTTTTTTGGCTCTTGTTTCTTTGTTTCATGCATGTAGGCAATGTTTGCCCGCTACGTGCCCGAAATTGCTGCTCTCATCCTGAATCGGAATAAATTCGGCGGGACTTTTAACAAACATGGAGGCAGAAAGTAAGTCGGTTGCACCAGAAAAGATGTGGTTGAGTGGCTTCCAGGAGTCCTGCCCTCTCCTACCCACCCGGGCATCTCTGTGAGGGAAGGGGCACGCTCTGGGTGGGGTGTGATGTTACCCGGGTTGTCACACTGGGACCAGCTGCCCAGCCCTGTTCTCACTCACACATCTTTCCAAGAGACGTGGGTTGATCCTGGAAGGGGTCCCGCTATCACCGGGCCTGTATTTTCTGTTCTGGTCCCTAACAAGTAATCCATGCTCATTCATTCCTCACACCAACTGGCTCTGTGGTTACACTCTGGTCCCCCACACTAACATGATGCCATTTCATGGGGTATCTGTGCAGCAGTAACGTGAGATCTTACTCCAGCAAGGAATTCTCAGGGAGGGCAAGGTCAAGGTCACCTTGCCTACTATAAGGCATGGCCACCGGGAACCAGTTCTCTTTAGCCGGGAGGCACAGAGCTTATCCTCACAGGGATTCATTACTCCCTTGCAATTCCTTGTGGGCAAGAAGTAATATGTTTCTGATTTTCAGGATACCACATGCTAAGGCCGAAGTGTCCTTTGTTTGGCTTTCCATACATGAATGCGCTCTCCATGGGCTCTCTTTCAATGTGTGCTCAGATCCCGTTATCAGTATGTGGGTCCCTGATCCACCAGAGATTTCCCTGAGTACATGGCCGGACCTCAGCTCGCTGTGCTCTGCCAGCTGCCATCTCTCCGGACCCTGCTGGAGGGAGGCCGGGCAGGCAGCAACCATCCGTCCTTTTTTAAAAAGGACTTTTCTTGGGCACAGCTTTGTTTCTGAGGTTTTGTTTTCTGTTCTAACTTCCATGGAGTAAGAGGTACACACACATCTTTCTCATTCAGCTCAGAACATTTGCGCCACCAGTCACTCCCACCCGATCTAGACGCGGAATCTTTCCATCACTGTTGCCCCTTCCCTATTACAGAAGTTCCTGCATTGGAACGAGGCTTCTTTCATTCACTTTCAGATAAACTCTTAAATAGCCGATTCTGTTTTTTAAGAGAAAATCAAACCAGCAGCATGGTGTCCCCTCCATCCTCGCTGCCTCCTCCTCGCCCTGCAGTCCCAGTAGATGCGCGGACCCCCTCGCTGAGGTGGTTCCAGCTCACCCCGCGCTCTGGTGTCCCGTCCTCCCTTCAGAAGATGAGGAGGCGGGTAAAACAGGGCTCACTTTCTGGAACTGCCCACAGGACACCAGTTTCCTTTCAAAGGAACAAAGGACAGTGGCTGAGAGGGAGCCAGTTGGCACCTGCTCGTGGAGCCAGCCCGTGCCTCCACCTCCCCGCTGATGGAGCCTGCTCTCCTATTCCCCTAACAGCCTGAATGAGATTAGAACCAAGCTGCTCTGATTTCTGGGCCACTGGCTGCATCCAAAAGGCCAAATACGTCTGGAGATTCCATTGGTCATGCGCTCCACGCCAAGAGGAAAACAGCTTCTCTCGGTTCTGCCTTCAAGTGTGGACAGGTCGCCATAAAGCAGACAGCCTTCCGAGGGCAGGGCCGGGTTGGCCTCCCACCCGCTGTCCCAGCCGGTGTGTCCTATCACTGCCCCCGAAGGAGGCAGTAAAGTCAATTACCCTGAAGTCCAGGTTGAAAATATGTCTTGACTCTCGCTCCAGGCAAAATCCCCTTCACCCACAATTAGTTTCCCAACCCCAGTGTGGGTGGGCCTGGTGGCTGACAGCTTTTGGTGACGGGTGACCGGCTCAGGCCCTCAGACCAGCGCTCACCCCCGGCCTGGTCTGATCATCCGGGCGCTTTCTGCCGTGGCATTTCCACTCCAACCCCCTCTCGGTGATGACTTCAGATCCCAGGCTCCCTGGGCTTTTGTTCTGCCTCAGTCTCTGTAATCTTTTATCACCGCAGCTAGCCTGCTTACTCCCTCCCCTCCCCCGTCTCTTTTTTCCTGTTCCCTTTATGAAAATGTGCACTTTGCTTTTAATGTTCTCACTGGGTCTCCAGTGTCCCCGACCCTGCGGACAGAGAGCAGGTTCTGTCATCAGCACGGGGACTGTGCACTTTGCGCATTGTTTCCTGGTTCAAAAGCTAATTACTAAGTAGTTTAAAGAAGCCCTTGGTCACTTAGATCTTTCATCAGAAAATATAAGCATGGGAAAGGCACGGTAATAGAGGGCCATTAGCACCCTTTGTTTGATGTTGTTTTTCCAGTCAGTAGAACAAGATTGATGAAATGTTATGTTTGGCCAAAATTTGAGTTTTCATTTGGAATTCAGTGTTGAGAGAATGGACTGTCAGAATCAATAAGTTCCCTTGCGCTTGGGATACGGGCATGTGGTAGTAATTAGCAATATAAGGTCTTTAGTTGAGCAACCAAGCATGGGTTCTGGCAGCAAACATAATGAGAAACTACAGTTGTTCTATTTCTAACGTCAGAAAGTTTCCAGATAAAATTAAATGCATTTGCAAAAGGAAAGCAGCTAAACTTTGTTGAAAGATGGAGTTCAGGCTCTGAAACATGCTTCGCCCATGTGTGTGTGTATGCATGAATGTATGTGCTGGACTCACGGACCCGCTTACATGCACGCTGCTCCCGAGGATTTAGTCAAGTGAGTGCTCAGACAGTAATTAAAACATATACACGGTTAAGGGATTGGCTTATGGTTGCGTATTTTACTCAGGAATAACCCCCCTTTTAAAAATGCATCCTCGGAGAACTCACGGTAACTTGCCACCCAAAGCCACGGAGACACACAACTTTGAAATCCAAAGATTATTTAGAGTAAAAGAAAACTGGGCCGAGAAGCTTGGGGGGTTGTTTAGGTAACACCCCATTTTAGAGGATCTGAGCAGATGAAGACTTCCTCGGCACCTCATTTTCAGCGTGTGTTTGGCAGAATGTAAACATTTCCCTTCACATCCCCAGAACACCTTTCCCGTCAACACCGGATCATGGGCGTCCTCCAGCGCTCGCCTCGCTATTCCACACCTGACCCCCCACAGGACAGCCCGAGCCAACAGTGGGTGGGGGTGGTGTGTGTCTGCATGTCAGCTTTTCTCTAATGTAGCTTGTGATGATGTATTGGGGCTCCTGAGAACAGGGACTTGGGTGTCAACAACCAGGGGTTCCAGGAATGAACAAGGAAGGCAGTTTTTCCAAGTGGGAGGTCTTGGGGACAGTTAGCCCCTGGGACTGAGTCCCCAGACTTTATTCAAAAGAGTAGCCCGCCTGCAGCCCAGCCGTCCTCCTAAGGACGCTCACCGCCTCTCCTTTCTTTCATGTGATGCCAAAGCCGCTCCGAGGTGGGGAGCACAGGGGTGAGGCTCCCATGGCCTTTAGGATCCCAGCCTGCTCTCCTTCCTCCCACAGCCTCTGCCGTTTCCCCCAGAGGTTTCCTCTCTGTGTGTGACTCAGCCCACTCCTGGTTAGTTTATGAGAACTGACAAGATCATGGTCTAAGGTCACATGGCCAAGGGCCATGGAAAATAATCGGCCACAGAGAGGAATCCATCTGCTCACCCCCTCGTTGGAGGCGGCCTGGATAGGGAGCCATCCAGACCTATTTCCCAGGCTGCGCTTCTGGGGCCCGAAACAGAGGCAGTGTCTTTGGCCAGGTGTTTGGGACGGGGGAATGGGATGGGTTGGATTATCCCATGGATTCCGGGTAGCCAAATACTGAGAAGACACAGAGAGAGGGATGAAGAACAGGACAAGGAGTGGGCAAAGGGGGATAGGAAAGTGAATGTCATGTACTTGGAGGAAGTGTTGCCGGCTGGATGAGAAAGCTGGGCCCCCTTCTGGCTGGGGTAGCAGTGGTCGCAGACTAATCGGGTCTAGCTCCAGTGCATGACATGCCGTGGCTTCTCTTAGAATGCTTCCTTCTGTACTTCCAGAAGAGAGAACGTGAATCACTGTAGTGCAAAGCCCTAGGGCTGCCTTCCATGACGATAGTAATAACTACAATCACTTGCCTATTTTCTAATTGTCACAGGAACCTGTGAGGAAGGTAATATCGTCATCTCCGTTTGCAGTGGGTGAGGAAACTGAGGACCAGAGAGGTTAAGTGATTTGCCTGATGTCACACAGCCAGTGAAGGGCAGATCTTAGATCAGGGATTTAACCTGGGGCAGTCTGCGCCCCTGGGTCACATTGCCTCTGTAGATCATCTCTCGAGACCTGTTCGTTCTGCTCTACACTCAGGGATCTTATCATTGTATGTGTTTCTCCACCACAGTCAGTCAGTGGGGTGTCACCTTGGGCCTGTCTCCTCCTTCTGATCATTTGTTACCTCTCAGGATCCTGGCCCCAGGGAGAGGGGACAAAACTATGTTTTCCCCTCATTCGGTTAGATGAGAAACACCTCTAACAATGAGGGGCTCTCAAGAATAGGCAGGCAGATCATTGATCAAAGTGAGATTTGGAGATTTCAGGCTCCATCCTTTCTGGGGTTCATTTCGTAGGTGACCAGCCATGGTAGGTGGTAGTGAACACCTCAGTCACTCCTGGGCAGGGCCTACCTGCATTCTATCTTAGGAAGAGCCCTCTCTGCCCTGCCAGACATAGATACGTAGATACCTGCTCCTTCAGTTCCTGAGGGCACGCCCCTGGGTCTCTGGTGGTGGTTTCCTGACTGTCGGTGAGAACTGTGGTAGCAGGTGCCCCTCCGGGGACATCGGCTCTGAGCAGGGAATATCAGCCCTGGGGCTGTGTCGCTCTGGAGGGAGGGAGGGCCATCTGCCTTCAACCTCAGGTGTGTCCTCAGGGTTATAAGAAGGAGCCTCAAAGGCACAGAGGTGGGGAGACCCTATTAGGCTTTTCCATTAA